AAGACATTGATAAGACTGTTTTCACACCTTTTTTCTTTGTCATTTCTACCTTGTGCAATTTTATTGTATGCATTATCTCAAAGTAAGGAATTTTCAGAGACAGCCTAACCTTTGAAAACTAATTCTTAGAGCTAGCAACAAAGATTTGATGTTTGATCACTTTATCATATGTGGATTTAATCAAGGGTATTATCCTTTAACTGAATTTGCTGAGCATATAATAAATCTGACAGTTTTACAGACCTTGTTTGGAAGATGGCCCCTACTGATAATGGATAAAATGCACATTATGGGTTACATGAATGCCGGATGATTAAGTAGCTCTAATGGTATGAGGCTGTTTTGCAAGCAACAGGCTCTGTTACCTTATAAGTGATGTGGATGAGTTTATGAAAGAAGAGTACATTTTTTAATTGTGTTGAGGTTTGACATTTTATTTTGCTCTCTATCTTTTGCTAAACATTTGACTGGCATTCTTCAGCCCTCCTAGAATTACTTTTAAAAAATAAAACTTAATAAATCTTTAGCTGTAACTCTTTCCCCTGCTTATCTAGTATGTAGAAATTGATAATCAAAGGATGAGAGGGAGGGTGTGCTGTCACAGTGAAAGCAGGGCTATTGTGTGGTTATAGATAACAAGAATGGACAAACAGAACCTTCTTTGCCAGTCTTGTCCTTCACAGCCCCCACCATCTGGTTGAAACTGGTTTGCTCTCAGTGACTAGTTTCCTTGAGATAGAGCCTGAGAGTTTATTTGTGTCTTGTTCAGTTTTTTTAATTTATACTGAACAGGTTCAGAAATGTTAAGGAACTGCTCATTTAGGGCCAGCTACAAAATAAAATATTTAAACTTTGAATGATGCCCTTCGTTATTTTCAATATCCTACTTTTTCATTGGAAATTTTTTAACTTTAATATACAAAAGTGTATTAAAACCCCTGTCTGACAATCAGGTACAGTGGCTCATGCCTATAATCTCCGTTATCAGGAGGCAAAGAACAGGAGGATCGCAGTTAGAGGCCAGCCTGAGCAAAAAGTTAGCGAGATCTCTGCCTGAACAAGTAAGCCAGGCATGGTGGTATGCATCTGTAATACCAGCAGACATAGGGAAGAGGATCATCTCCAAAGTGGCCCTGGGTAAAAATGAAAGACCTTACCTTAAAAAACAAAAACAAAAACAAAACCTAAAAGCAATAAAGAGCTCAGAGATCCTTTTGATGCATATATATGTCAGTTTATTTTACTTAGGATGTTTTCTAAGTCTAGAAGTAAGATCTATATGATCTGTCTATTCTCGTCACTTTTGTCATTTTGGTGGGGACAAAAATGAACTCACCTGGCCCCACCACCTATGAGTGAAATGCTGACATTCACTGCCAGCCAAGCCTCACACAGGCATTAAAAATATCAGCTAATGGGCATCTGGATGGGAGTGCCACAGTTCTCATAGAGCGCCCATTAATGAAGTTCACTGTGATTTATTTGGTTCTCCCCAAAATTTAATGCAGGTCATAAATCCACTTGTCTGCTGCAGGACAGCAACTAAGGCTTACTGCCTATCACCCTCTTCCTTGCCCTCCTCCCTTCCTGACTCCAAAGTTAAATTCTCTTCCTTCCTCCCACCTTCTTTTTTTTGGTCTCAGATCTGTCTTCTTTATGTTTTCCCTGGGTGACTGTCAGTGATTCAGGTAGGCCATCCCTACATGCCACATCCCTAGCTTGATGGAACCTGGTAGGGGTGACCGCTTCTTGGCCAAGTCCACTGGACCTCAACCTCTCTGACCCACCTTTTATCCTTTGAAAATATCAAAGCCAGTTTCAAATGTGTACTGGGGACCTATAGCCCAAGAAAACTGCTTGGAAAAAAAGAACGTATGGGGCAGACCCAGAAAAACAAGGAAGCAGTTGTGTTCAAAAAGCAGAAATTTGTACAAATTAAAGAAATGTGTAAGGTGCTATCACATGATAAAAGGGAAAGCTTGACACTTAGGTTACTTATTTCAAGAAGAAATAAATGATGTTTTAAGCTACAAATAGAGTGGTTAAGCTAATCTTTAATAGGTATAAGTAAAACAGTGTGCTCAAATGTTTTTATTATACTTAGACCAGAAAACGCTCACCCTGCTCCCGTCAGCTCCTCTAGTGCTTGCTGTCTCTGCATGCCGTTGTAATCATTGGTGTGTAGACAGTGCTGTTGCTAATGTTCAATCCCCATAAAGGTATTTGAACTGGGGTTTGAACTGGGGCCTCATACTTGCTAGGCAGGCACTCTACCACTTGAGCCTACTCTGCCAGCTGAGTACATAGAACTTTAAATAGTCACTTACTTTACTTTTTAATATACACAAGGGAGGAGGAACTTTCATGAATAAGATTTATCACCTATACCTACCATACAGGGCACTTTGCTATATATTGAAAGCTATATTTTAATGGTAAAAATTTACTTGCATTTTCTATTATTTATAGAACACTGCTTCCAAAATAAAAATTGCCTAGGTCATCTGTTGAAGGCTTATTTAGATTAAGAGTGTAATTTTTTTTTAACATGCGTATGAGTGAAGCCTTGGGAATTGTGATTAAAAGAGAATTACTAAAAATGAATAACATAAGGCATATGCTCTAAGAAAGGCTCTGGTATTCAGGGTTTTCTTTCAACCCTATGTCCTTGGTATAACTCTTGCAGTTGCCTGGCTGCCCACCCCCCCACACACACACTTAAAGTCATCTGCTGGCCTCCAGGCCCAGCTCCAAGCCACATTAACATCAGCCAGCACAGTGCTCTTCTTTCTTGGATCTCACAGTGCAGAGGAGTGCACAGCAGTGCTATGTGCTGGAGTATGAATTTAACTCTCCTCTCTGTTTTCTTGAGAGCAACAGTACTTCTTAGGCTCTCCCAGCATTGGGCCTCATCTATAGTAGCGTGCAGGCAGTCTTTGTGGAGTGAATGAATGAGTGAGTGATAGGTAGGTAACAGGAACAGAGTTATGTACAGAAGCCCATGCAATCCAGACATTGCTTCTTCACTCCCTGACCTGTGCCTCTGTGATAGACGAAGAATGGTTTACTTGGTGAGGGGTTCTCTGTGATAAAGGTAAGAGTAGGAGTTCCCTCCGCCTATGTGTAAATCCCAGGTTCACTTTCTAGTCCGAGTGGTAGCTAATGTTATAGATACTAGTGATTATCTCCATTTTACAGAAGGCATAGGATTGCAAAGTAACTTCTTAAGGTCACCCGTCTGACCAAGTAGTGAAGTTGAATGTGGATACTGGCCCATGGCTGCTCTGCAATACTTCCTCTCATAGTCTGTCTTTGAATCTATAGATCACTTGGTACATAGTGAATGCTAAATGAATATGAACAAAGCACAGATTACACTTATTTATCATCAGGCCCAAATTGTGACCACAGTACAGGACCTTGGTACTTGGTTACATTGCTTCCACCAGCAGGAAGCACATTATCTCTCAAATTGTACCCTCCATGTGACCTCCTGAGTTGAATGTGCAATTGGTGCAGCCTCTCTCAGCTGATAAAGTTGTTCTTCATCATGCTAACAATGCGCCTTTAAAGAACAGTTGGCTCTACTGCCCCCTTGGATCTGAACAGTGCCTAGAAGAAAACTATTGTAGTGCGACTAAGACTGAGCATCTCAGAGTACACTCAAGGAAGCAGTCGGGCAGCTTGATTGGTACGTGATCTGTGATTGCTCTCAGGCACTGTTTTCTTTAGCCCACCTTGCTCTTTGTTCTTGCTCCTAATGAACCTATTGTGATCTCATGTCTTTCTTAAGTTTTTGGTCTTCCATTCACTTGGCCTTTTCTCTGACTTTCTCTAACCTCGAAAGGAAGAAAAGCCACTACAAAAAGTAAAGGAAGGCTGAGATCATTTAGAAGCCTGGGGGACAGGATCCAGGGGAAATCACATAGAATTGGATTTCTAGGAAAAAACATTTAAATGCCTGGACTTGAACTTTTGAGGCTGTATTGGTTTTCCTTTGCTCAGCAGTTGTTAGGCACCCAAAGTAACAGTCTTTTACACTTTCCTGGAAATCTTTGTTAGTCACTTTGTTTAGTCTGTTAGAACTTCAACCTCTACCACTCTCTTGTTCTTACGTACTTAAGTAGTACTTTGGTTCTGTTAGAGATGACCAGAGGACACTTAATTCTCTTATCATACATCCTCTTATTTTCTTACTGAGAGAAATTCAGCAGCCAGGAACTATGGTGCTCACTTGTTCCCCTGATTTTTCTGAGGGCATCTGAAGACCCTTGGTGGTAGCAGCTAGAACCAGCTGAGGGAAGGATGCTGGCTGAGCAGAGGCAGGATGTGAGAGAAGAAGCAGTGGTGTAGTGCACAAGGCAGGAAGCAAGCTGCTATGGAGAGAGGACACCTGGGAGGAACAGTGAGGCAGCTGCTGCAGAAGAACCAGAGACACATGAGCCTCCTGAAGGAGGCAGGAAGAGCCTCCATTTGAGGGTCTCTATTTAAGAGGCCTTATGAAAGGACTGGGGGCCACTACAGTGTGTCAGATCTACCCAGCTAAATTTGGAACCCTTTAATTTAGATTTATGGCACTGCCTCTTCCCCAGGCCATCTGTCATGGGTGAGCTATTACAGCACAGACTTCATATTGGCCAACCCAGAACAGAGACTGGGAGGAGCCCCTTACAACACCTGTTGTTTCTACATGGCGCAAGAATGCCCCCGAAACTGGAGGCTGCAACCCAAGCCTAGGCTAGCAAGCGTGTAACTCACTGTGCTGTTGAAATCTAGCTCCTCTCCAAAAAGTCTGGGCCCAGAGAGGTAGGCTGGTTTGTTTCTTAAATATTAATGTTTAATTAAGCAAGGTTAAAAAAAGAAAGAGACTGATTTAAAACAATGTGTTAATTGCTATTGTCAAATTTTTTATTAAAGTCAAGGAAGGTTCTTTCATTGTTGGCAAAATGATCTGACACTTTACCAACAGTTCTTTGCATGTTTTCTTTTTTTCTTTTTAGTTGCTGATATGTGTTCAAGATGAGTGGGATGGGTGAAAATACCTCTGACCCATCCAGGGCAGAGACACGGAAACGCAAGGAATGTCCTGACCAACTTGGACCCAGGTTAGATGCTTGCTGAGAAAAAGAACCCAGATTGTCTATTAAAACTTCATGCATGCTTCTTGGTTATTTTAGCACTGATTTTATTCCCAATTCAAGTATCACATTTGCTTTTTCTCCTTAACAATTAAACTTACAGATATGTAGTGGTTTAAATTTCGAATATGTTAGTTACAGATTTTATTCTTCTTTACAATAAGAGGAAAACCATATACTTCTGTTGCTGTGTGTATTTGACTCTTACAGTCAGTTCACTCTATAATCTTGAGTTTTGTATATTTTTTTCTGTTAGATGACAGAATGTTGTAACAAGTGACTCCAATAAGGAAAAGATTTGCTGTTTTATACCGCGTTCTTACTTGGTTTTGTTTACTTACTTATTTTCATTATTACTATTTTTGCCAATACTAGGGTTAAAGGGCCTCACACTAGGCAGGTGCTGTACCACTTAAGCCACGCCCCTCCCCAGCTCTATTTGCTCTAGTTATTTTGGAGATAGGGTCTTGCTTTTTGCCCACATCTTGCTGGACCATGATTGTCCTATGTATGCTTCCTGCAATAGTTTGGGATGATAGACATGAGCCACCATAGCTGGCCTTTTTTGTTGAGACAGGGTCTCATGGACTGTTTGCCTGGGCTGGCCAAACCTATATCCACCTCCCCAGTAACGTTTTGTTTTGTTTGAGGTTTTTGCTTGCTTTCATGACGTGAAGTGTTAAATTCATTTGCTTTTCATTTAAGAACTGATTGTGTCTCTTCAGTGAATAAAACAAAAGAATTTTGAAACCAGTTTCATTTTATACGTTATAGGTGATAGTGAGCCTTCGTGCAGGCTAATTTGGCAGAATCAAAATGATACATGCATATCCTCTTTGAACTAGCAGTTCCTCTTCTAAGAATTTTCCTGTGACAAACTTCAGTACATGCAAAATTATGTGTATGTGAGATTGCTCATTTGCAGCATTGTTGATGATTGTAAAAGATGACGAAAGAGCTCAGTGTGTGTAGGGAACCTAGCGCACAACACAGCCATGATAAAGAATGTGGACATTCTGGGTTGATATGAAAGAAATCTCTTAAAAATATTATGACAGAGAAAAGGCAAGGTTAGAAAATGTGCGTGGAATCTAGAACTATTTGTATAAAAAAGGGAAGAAGAAAGCATTTGCATTTGTATTGTAGGATAACCAGAAACAATGATATTTCCTACCCAACTCCATGGGTAAGAGCTAGGTGAAGAGGAACAAAAGCAGAACAGAGTCTTTAGTCTTGCAATGTTTTAAATCCTAGAAATTATTTTAAAAATTAAATAAAAACGGGGCTGGGATGTAGCTCAGTGGTACAGCGCTTGCCTAGCATGCACGAGGCCCTGGGTTTGATCCCAGTACCAAAAAAGAAAAGACAAAAAAAGAAAAGTAAATAAAAACAACTTCTATCTGCTGACCAGTAAAATAAGACAGGGAAACGATAGGAAGAAGGCTAGGAAAAGTCATCAGCAGAGGTATAGGAGGAAAAAAAAGGGCAAAAAAACCAGTCTTTTAGATTCCCTTTTCTCACCTCTAATTGCCAAGCACAACAGCAAGCTTATCAAAGCCTGCTCTTCACACCCCAGCCCCAGCTGGGCTGCCTGACACTGCCTCTGGGTTCGCCAGTACTTTCTGGTAAACCACCACCAGCTCACTGTCAGACTCCTTTAATACTCTGGAAACACTGTTCCCTTACCTAGTACTGTGTTGGCCAGCACCAGGGCTGGCCTACCTGTCTCTGAGCCCTCACCCTAGTGTTCTCTCAAGGGTCTTTGTAACCCAGTTCCCCTTTATCACGAACTTGTCATTTATTTATTATCCTTGTAGTGTTGAAGAGATGGGGATGGAGGGTGGAGGCTAGTGGAAGAAGGTCAAAGATGCCCGAATAGGACCTGGCTCTTCTAAGAGTTTCAGCCAACCCCTTCCTTCTCTGTAGTTCATAAAGTAAGATCTAGAAGCAAACATGAGACTTAAATGAAAATCAAATCTCTTCCCTGCTCTGCCACTAACTTACTAGGTGATCCTGGGCAAATCCTGTAACCACTACAAGGTGGAGAAACTGTGTTATAGCTTATTACTCTATGAAAATAAAACTGATATTTAGAGACAAATATATGGATGACTATTGTGAATTCCCAAATTTTTTAAATTAGCATTATTTACAAATAATTGTGTACAAATACAGAAAGCTGCTACATTAAACAGCTTGCTTTTTTTCCTTATTGTTTTGAATGTTGTTTAGTTGACCCTCCTCTGTACTTGAAAAATAATTAAGACAGTGATTAACAAAAGGAGGTTTTGAGTTTGCTATTTTGTCAAATTCAAATGAGAAGATTTTTACCAATTTTGACATTTTCCCCTCCCACTGTTTTTTTTTTTTTTTACAACTTTACTTGAACTTAAACCATTTGTTTACATTTTGTTTATATTTTGCATGTCATTCTGTTTGGACAGTTAACAAATATCCTGGGACAGTTTTCCTTTTGTTTCTAGCTGTGTTGTACTTTTTTTGCGTAATCTAAAAAGACTGCTTAATTTGATTATTAACTTTCTAAAGAAGTCTATGAAGTTATAAAGATTTGTTTTCATTATCGTTTGTATTTTACAAAAAAACACTGAAATTTATTCCTATATAACTAGGTTAACTTCCCTTTCTTCTTTTACTAATCTTCAGTAAAATTTGAAATTTTTATAAATGTAACCTCCCTTATCTTTTCAAAACATTCCTTTATTTATTTGACAATAAATTCAGTGACCACTTATAAGAAGTGCTGAGGTGGTGACCAAAGTCATCCAGGTCCTTGTCATGTTGAAGTTGGTAGTCAACATTAAACACATTGAAAAATAATCACAGGCTGGTGGAGTGGCTCAAGGGGTAAAGAACCTGCCTAGCAAGCCTGGCAAAGGTGAGGCCTTGAGTTCAAACCCCAGTACCAACAAAAAGAAAAAAAAAAAGAATCATATAAATAAATATTTAATTACAAACTGGTGTAAGTTTGTTTTTCCCCAAAGTACTGTGCTTATATAGGTAACGTTTGTATGCCATATTTATATTAAAATTAGTTTAATGTGTTTATCTTTTTCATAACTCTTTTTCAAGTACATAATAAAAACTTCTTTTCAGCCCCAAAAGGAATACTGAGAAACGTAATCGTGAACAGGAAAATAAATATATAGAAGAACTTGCAGAGCTGATTTTTGCAAATTTTAATGATATAGACAACTTTAACTTCAAACCTGACAAATGTGCGATCCTGAAAGAAACTGTGAAGCAAATTCGCCAGATCAAAGAACAAGGTAAGATGACTGAATTAATATCTTGGAGAGGTGTGTTGGTTTCTGGTTTTCCATGTATGAGAAATTCCACCAGAGTCCCTTTAATCCATTTCTTATGCTTAAATTATTGATGAGGAAATGATGTCACAGTGCAAGATGAATACAAGTATCACTTGCAGTGTTTTATAAATAGACTTTGTATGAAATTCAACCATTCCCAAAAGACAGAGGAGACTGAGGAGAGTTGGAGGGGTATAACTTTTTATCTACTAAATTCAGTAAGGTGCCCACTCATTCTCCTTCCCCCACTTGGAGTTTTCCTAACTTGCACAGCAAGTGACTGTCATAATTTGCAAGTGAGGAGCCAGGTTGAGGTGTAAATCAGAAGTGAGGAAGTGAAGCGCCTCCTGTTTCAATTAGTCAGCATATTTGATTACGTCTGAGCCTCAATTGACCATGCGACTAGATTAGAATTTCACATCCTGAATGACAAGAGGTTTGAAAGATTCTAGTCACTAGTAAAAATTCTTTTGAGAAGTTGAAACACGGACCATGACAGCTTTCTTCCTGTGGGTTTTTTTTTTTCCTTTTATTTTCTGAGATCATTTTGTGCTTTGATATTTTCGCCTACAGAAAAAAAATTGTAAAAATATTTGACTTTGTGATGCCAAAACTAAATCTTTATTGGGCATGTATGAACAGTGTCTTGTTGCTCAGAGCTAATATATACTCTGAAGTATCTGTATACAGTTTTCCTTCAGGGCTAGAGAGATTATTATCTTTTTTAATGTTTCTGAATGCATCCTCTTGAAGTTGATAGTTTTAATCTACCTCTTATATAATAGACAAAAAAGGCAGACTTTTAAAAACTAGAATGTCTTTGTATTTATGGATGTATTATCCTCCAACTATGTTTGCTCTGATGAATCATAAAATCATATCCATTAGTATATTATCACCATAGAATTTTCCATTTCATACATCTACTGTTGAACTCAATCCCATGTAAAAGTGTTTTACAATTATAGTTCTGTCTTCTAAGAACTTAAAATATGCATATAGCATACACAATACAGTTTCTAAAAATACCAGCCTACTCTGAAAATTGGTCTCCACTTCCTGGTTTCTCCATCAAAGTTATACAATCATAACACTCAACAGTTCTGTCAGTGCCTGTCTCAGTCTCCCTTCATCTGTCTCCTCTTTCTTTTCTCTTTAGGGTTCACTAGCTACCGAAACTCAGTTTTGTGCCCTTTTCATTTTTGGTGTCAACAGATAGATCAAGTAATATTCCTAGAACTCTTTAGATGAAGTTATCCAGTGCTGTGCAGTTTCATGTTTCTGGTTGCTGATATCATTGCAGTAGAGAAATCATTAAGCTTCTTGTTTCAGGTTTCCAAGACTTTTGAATGATTCAGTTTTGTGAGCATTGCATGCTAGGTGGTATTTTATGTCTTAAAATAATCATACATGTATTTTTAACCACTACGGGAGTCTTGCACAAGTTTTTAAAGTTTTGCAAAACCTTGGTAATTCCCCCTTCAGACCATAAAACACGTTAAGATGTGTCATGCTGGGCCTGTGCCATGCCTTAACTGTAGTGTTAATCATAACACACACCACAGCCACCCAGGAAGCAGCAATAATAAACACCCCGTCACAGCGCGTTCTTACACAAATGCTCCTACAAATTTGAAAAGCATAATGGTTTGAAAAGGGAAGCAAAAGTAAATGCCAAATGAAAAAATGTAGAGTGTAAATGTGCTTTTGAGTTCTAATATTTTAGGAATATTTCTTTTTTAATAAATTGGGGGGGGTTGATGTGTTTTTTAAGAGCAGAATCACATCACACAGAAGCAAGGTATGCATCCTCATGCCACTTAGGAACTTTCTGAACCTAGGCAAATGATTTCATCTCTCTGAGACAGTCTGCTCATGTAGAATTGAACAGTAACCACACCTAGGTCACATGCTGCTGAAGAAATTATGAGCTGTGTCAATGCACTCAGAAGGTACTTGTCATAGTAATATGTTCAGTAGCTCATAGGTTTCTTTCCCTCATTAATCAAAAAGGCACCTTTTTTTTTCTTCACTTGTGCTAAGATCTTCAGAGATTGACCTCTTCCTTCAGATGGAAAGCAAAAGAAAAAAGGTTGAAGGGTGGTTATTAATATCCGTTCTACAGGTTTTAATTTTCTCTATTATTACTTGAAGAAAGTAAAACTTTTCTGGGACCATACCTCTTCACTGTCACTCTGTTTGGGCCAATTTAATTTCTCTCTCCAGGTGCATAAGTCAGGGCCATCCCATCTCATTGTGTCTCCCTTTCCCCAGCTGTTACCCCTGCCAGTCAGCATAAATAAAATCCAACTTGCATCTTTCTACCTTTATCCAAACTTAATTTGTATTTCAGTCACTCTTGTCAGTCTAATATAATTACTTTGGGAGCTCAGGAGAACATGCCCATTATGTGCAACCTGCACAGAGAAGTTAAGCTGGGTTGTATGAGGTGCCATACTACAGAGTGCCAAAGAACTGGGGAAGCACGACTCATCTTCATGGAACCCCCTCTAGTGCCAGAAGCTATCTGTCATAGCCAGAATAGAAGAATATTTTTAAATGGCCTAAAGGATGGAAATTTGAAGGGGATTTACCAGCTGTTTAAGTTAATAAGCATTCTCTTGTACATGGCACTTATGAGATCCAGGTGTGGTGGATGCTAGCCCTGTGAGCACATCCTCTCTGGAATGGACCTTGTAGACACAGAGCAGGTACATACAAGAAGTTGATATTACTAGTGTGATCACCATTAACGTGGAACGCCATCTCTGTTGATGGTTTTGTGTTGGCCCACATTCATAAGTACTTGGTTATTAATGAAGTTAGAAATTTAGTAATTAAGTTATACTTTCTGTTGTGACTACTTTGAGAGTTTTTAATACCAGCTTAGACTTAAATAGTTATTACTATGTGCCCTTGGATTTGGGTAACTATTTAATACTCAAAGAATGCTATTATATTGTTGTCCCCTTTCCCAGGTGGGGAACCTGAGACACAGGTTGGGTAGGTAGCTTGATGAAGTCCCATACTGTAAGGTAAGGAATAGGATGGTGTTCAGGCTCCATGACTCCCTTGAGCCCTCACAGAAAGCCTTTTGATATTGAACTATGATGCTTCTTTATATTTGGTATGGTGGTAATAAATGTTTAAAATTTCTGTCTTCTGTCATTTACAGTGTTGGGTAGTAAATATCATTTTTTTCTTAATTGTGGAAACTAATACTGCTTCTATTCCACATTATAAATAGTACTAGAAATACAAATGAATTAATTTTGAATTGTTATATTCAATCTCACTCTCTTTAGCTGGAAATTTAAACATTTCTATAGGAAATTCATTGTGATTCCTATTCACTCTCTCTCTCTCTCTCTCTCTCTCTGTCTCTCTCCTCACTCCCACATTTCCACCTGCCCTCCTGCCCAACACCCACCTCCATAGGTTCTGTTGTGTGAACACACAGAATAAGCAAAAAAGCGCTGACCTCAAGTCCCTTTGAGCAGTGAGCTATCTGTAAGTCAGGCTTTTGGGGGTGAGACTTCAGTTGTTGCTTGTCTTCCATGTGATGAAACCTTAGCATGATGAACAAGTCATCAGCTGGGAGGGCTGGGTTAACAGCTGGCCATCTCTTTGGCATGCACAGCCTTGAAGATAGTCTTGTTCTGAACATAGGGCTAGCAGTGTTTTGGATTGCTGTGAAATATGTATGACAGTAAAAGAGAGTTCATTGTTTGGAGAATGAATGTGAGACTGATAATGATGTGTTCTTTTAAACAGGAGTCCCTGAAATACTACATATAGCTTGTTTCAATTGCCAGCTTCATTTTTATACTACCTACCTACTTCTTTTGTTCTTTGCTTTTTGTGTGTTTTTTATTTGGGGGTGGGGTGGTTTTGAACTTGCAGCCTGTGCTTGCTAGGCAAGCACTCTACTGCTTGAACCACTCTACCAACCCTCCTCCCTACTTCTAGAGATGCTGCTGATAAATCTCTCTTTACCAGACTTTACAAGTTTGCTAACATCTCTTGGCTTTTATTTCCAAGTGTATTAAAAGGGAACAATAACGTTATGAAGAGTATGTTTGATAATGTTTATAAAGGGCTTTACCTAGTAAAAGCAAAAGACTTCATTATTCTTACCACTGTTTCTGACATCTGTACTTGGAGGTATCATCCCATAAATCTAAGAACTCTATTGATAAGGAAACAAATAATTTTGGGATATGTTTCATTTTAAGTCTAATGTTCTTATAGTTTTATTTTATTGCAGGAATAAGTAAATAGAAACTATAGAAACTGTTCAGTCAGAGATAGAAATTAGAAATGTATTGCTTGTTGTAACTACTTCTGAACCTCCTACCAGTTCTGACACTGCTGCTGGCCCTTGTCTGTTTTGCTTGTCTACATGACCAGACAAGGAAAATAAGAATTTTCCTTCAAGGTGAACTAAAAAGGGCAGTTCTCACTTTATTGTTATTTACCTCAACACAGATAAGAACCTGGCCCTTGCTTACCTGTCAAGAATCTAGATGGAAAATAAATTTTATTTCTTGGTTTGATAATATACCTTATGATCAGCAGTCCTTGATAGTGCAGCTTTTAATAGAGATAAAATGTTTTCCATTGAAATGCACGTAATTCACTTCACATGCTTTCATGTGGATTAATGGCTCCCATTAATAGAATCCTTATAGTTCCTGAGTAGGGGTAGAATTCCTGCTGTCATTTCTTCCTAGGAATCCCTTTATTATTTTTATCTCTCAAGTACATGGAAGGTTTGGGGTTTTTGTTTTTGTTTGTTTTAATAGCTTTCAGGTGAAGAGGATTTAAGTCATTTAATGTGTCTTAATGCTTAAGGATTTAACAGTTATATAACATGAGTTCTTACTTCTAGACCTAAACTGGGGTGGATGCAGCAGCTCAAGCCTGTAATACTAGCTGTTTGGGAGGTGGTGATTGGGAGGATCATGATTTGAGGCCAACCCAGGAAAAAAGTTCATGGGATCCCCATCTCAGTCTTTGGCTAGGTGCACTAGTACATGCCTGTGACCTGCGCTGCACCAGGAAGCACACATAGGAGGATCACAGTCCAGCATAAAGCAAGACCCTATCTCGATTAAGAAAAAAAAAAACAAAACTGGCTTTTGCACACTAATCAAGCAGACATCCATTGCTTTCTTAGTTACCCTATAGTGGTATGAAAAAATTAATTCTGTGTGTATCAATTTAATCCAAAAGCAAACATTCATTTGGTAAGTTCTCTTATTAAGTAAATACTATATACAAGACATATATGCAGCAGTTGTGGGGAAGAGGGTTGTCCAGCAATTTTTAAGTACATGGTTCTTTTCCTTGGAGCGTTCACTCATTTGGAGGAAAACCATCTTAACTAAGTATAGGACTGTTGGACAGTAGAAGTGAGTATGATGACAGAAGACAATAAATTTGGACTAGGTCTTACCGTAAGATGAAGATTTTAAATAGGTAAGAAAGTAAGTGAGGCAT